TGCACTAGGAGGAAGCATTTCATTTTTCCCCAAAACTCTTTAAAAAGTAGAGTTTGCCAATGAATATCTAGGCAGGGACAAGGTCTTCTGGAACGATGTGCTGTGGACAGACAAGTCAAAGATGCCGTTGTTTGGCCGCAATACCAGTAGTACACAGGACCATGTTACGACCTGGTCTAGGGTCAGTCCGTAACAGCGAATGAGAGTGGGCTCTCTCCCCAGACCTGCTGCCAGACCAAACGCCGGACACCATTTAAATTAGCAAACTGCAGGTTTATTTAGACTTTGGTAAAAGTATGCAAGCTTGCTAAACTGAATGGAAGTAGTGGTTTCAGGGACGAGCGTGTGCCAAAATAATAAACCAACACAATTAACGATTTCAGATCTAACTAAACCAAAATCAAAAGAAACAAAAAGACGTATGGCTCCTCTAACTCCCTACCTTGAACAGGAGAAAAAGGTACCCAAAACAAAACGGCACCCGTCCCCTACTTTTCCAAATGTTCACAAGAGTTAAACAAATTTTAAAACTTTACACACAAAGTGAAGCGAAGAGTGCCGGGTTGGCCTGAACAGGCGTTCTTCCAGGTTGCATCAAAGGGGAAAGAGCCCTGAACGTCTCAAGATGGTGGCTCGGCGACCTCTTATACCATTGTGCGCCCCCGTCTGGCCCATCATGTACCTGCACATAAGGGGACACACAACAGGGAAAACACAGAATGCCAGCACAAGGCACACAAAAGGTATATTACAACCTGGGGTTGTAACAACCAACTTGCAGTCATGGAATCGACTGTGAATTGTTTCATACCCGAGAGTGCGTGAGGAGAACGTGGGACGGTCTGTAAAAACGTTGAAGCTGCTGAAGTGGACCTTCCAACAGGATAATGATCCCAAACACATCAAACAAGTAATGGAGGAAAGGACAATAGACAGTTTCTCCCAGTAGACCTCAGAAACGGGTAGTCAGTTATAAGAAATGCCTACCTGAGGTTGTTTCTGCCAAAGAGGGCAAAACCAGTTACTGATTTTGTAGTTTTTCAACAAACAAAAATTACATCATAGTTAATTTTTTTATTTAAATAAATGATTGCAAAGTCAAGTTTTGTTTTTTTACTCTGTTGCAAAACACTATGTACACACCGTTTAATGAAAGATCGAATACTGACATTCACATATGTTAAAAGGATGAAACATTACATGGGGTGTACTTACTACTTCACATGGCTGTTTTATATATGTGTGTGTGTGTGTGTGCATAGATATATCTGTGTGTGTATATACACACACACAGATATGATTCATAAATCATGAATCAGTGTACAAAGTGTAATTATGCAGTTATACACCCTTGTTGCACTGAAATATGTAATCTAATTTTGCACTCCCACTCTGTGAATTCACTGGACCCAAAACAAAGCTCTGAAACTGTGTTAAGAACTGCATGAGGATTTATTTTTGATGGTGTCTGGTTGTTGGCCAGCTAATACTGATTATGTAAGCTCCCATCAGATGCCCTTTCCAAAGAATTACCCAATATTAACACCAATATTAAGTGTTTTTAGAGCTTTACTTTTAGAATTAAAAGTTAAATAGCGTTTATTGTGTTTATTGTGCTTGTTTTGCTAGGAATGTGGCAACTACCCAGGGTTCCTCACCATATTCCGAGCGAGTGGCTTCGATGGAGGGAACAAGGCGGACCAACTAGACTACGAGAACTTCCGGCATGTCGTTCACAAGTGGCATTACAAGTTGACTAAAGTTAGTGTTTTTTTGTTTTGAACTAAGCTGGATCTATGATTTTGTTCCTTATGCTCAAATGTTAACATTTCCTCTAGTGCTTTTGCTGCGTGTGCTGTAGTCCCTAATGGACTCGGGGTACAATGTGCAAATGTACGCAGCCAGACTGTGACCGCTAATTGAACTTTAAGTAATGAGTCAAGCCATTACGGACTTGATGAAGTGTGAGGTTGAGTCACAGTGTTTCAAATTTAATTGTATTTATTTGGAATGAATAGTCGACGTCATCTGAGTGTTGTTTTGTCTAGTCTGACGTTAAATGGTGTTTTAATAATGGTGCTATTATCTGAAAATGGAAACCTATATGTTAGTTGACGTCAGACGTCCGATGTGCAAAACTTTTGAGTGTGTCTCTTTTGGTTCTGCTGTCTAGGCGTCTGTGCACTGTCTGGAAACGGGTGAGTACACCCACATACGCAACATCCTGATCGTGCTGACCAAGATCCTACCCTACTACCCCAAAGTGCTGAACCTGGGCCAGGCGCTGGAGTGCCGTGTGCACAAGATCTGCCAGGAGGAGAAGGAGAAGAGGCCCGACCTTTATGCATTAGCCATGGGGTAACTGAGCAGAGAGCGGGCCTCGGCCTTGCATTCTGATGGGCCTTTTACCATTCCAGGGTGTTTTGGGAGGGGCGGCTGGGCTTATGTTCTAGAACTCACCTCTGTCAGGGGTCTGGCTGGTGGCAAACTGATAGGATGAAGTGTGGTAGGGCGATTTATCTTTCCATTTTTATTTCAAGTGCTGAGTAGTGGTGTAGAATGTGAAGGAATTTAGCAGATCAATCATAATTGCAAAGCAGTGCAGTTTCTGCCAACTGTTTGTTCCTCATTCGTTGTCTGGGAGTTCCCTTGCTTCTCCCCCAGCAGGTTAGCCCTATTACAGAGGCAGAGATTTATCCTCACCCACTTCTCGCTGGTGCTAGCATATGCTCTGATGCACTGTTGATGAAATTTGCCAGTCTAAAGTTATTTATCAGAGCTGGTGAAGCTGTTCGTGACTGGTAACGTTCTCCACAAGGGATCGGCTCGCAGCGTGCGGTGTGAGAGTGTGGAGAGCGTTCCTCACCGTTTTCCGAGCTCACTTTCAGTCGCTTCCCAACAAAAAGCCCAGTCAATCCAAGCAAGAGATGAGTGTGACAGGTCAACCCCGCTATAAGAGCCTCTGCATCAGGGCTTAATGAATGCCATTAATTCGCTTGTTGGACTCCGCGCCGTCCCTGCGGCCTTTGTCCTGTCACAACGAGGTGATCTTATCAGTTATCAATTGTAATGAGCTTTTCTTCGCCCTGCTAGAATAAGGTTTAAATGCCCAGCCGTTCCGCAGACCACCTGCCTCTCCCGTTCCCGGTAATGACACACTTTGTTTTCAAGCGGCTCGCGGGTGTTAATATTTCACACGTCAGTGAGGGGCGGTAATGGTAAGAGAAGCTGAAATTGTCATTTGCTGATTGGTATTTGTTCATTGTTTCTAAGGTTAATGATGAAGTGACATCCGTTAGCTTGAGTTAGTGTTACTCTTTCCCTCCCCCTCAGTCCTTTGTGCGATATATTGAGCTCCAAGTGTCTTTTCACGCAGACTCTGAGATAATTGAAGTCGGTATTGTTATTCAACTTGAACATGCCACCAGTGGGATTTCTTCCCACGCCCCATCTGACTGGGTGGATAGGGTCGTTGATCTTTTGTCCTTTTGCGCTGTAGAAGTACAGAATCATCAAATGCATTACGACATTAAGTTATTACAATTAAACCAACATTCTCAGATTTTTCTCCAGGCATCTTCGTAAATCTCAATATTAAGGTCCCCCTGCTGTGTTTTTTTTATTTTATTATTTATTTTTTTTTTTTTTTACTGAGATCATTTCATTTAGAGTTGTAGTGTTGTAGAAGCTTTTGAATATGCAGTATCTCTCGTGTGCTGTGATTTTAACCATGTGTGTGACTTGCAGCTACTCTGGCCAGTTGAAAAGCAGGAAAGTGCATATGGTTCCTGAGAACGAGTTCCACTACAAAGAGCCAGTGAGCAGCACTAACCCCGGCGGCCTGCAGAACGGGCCCGGCAACACCGGCAAGCCTGCAGCCGCCGCTGCCTCTGCCACCAGCAAGAACGAGGAGGGGACTGCTGAGGATGCGGGTGAGTTCCATATCAAAAGAGGGAATCTAGGACCATGTAACTGTGGTCTGATTTATTAGGGATGCATCCAAATTCTGGAATTCTGTGGAATCGTGTACATTGGCCTTAACTGAGGCAAATGAAGCCTGCAGTTTGTTAGATGTTCGTCTGGGTTCATTTGTGGCCTCCTGGAGGAGTCCTCGGTGCGCTCTTGGTGAAGTTTTGGTAGGCCGGCTCTCACTGTGGTTCGCTGGAGTCCCAGAGCCTCAGCAACGGCTTTGTAACACTTTCTAGATGATAGATTTCAATGACTTTGCTTCGCATCTATATTTGAGTCTCTTTAGCGTGTGGCATCTTGTCCTGCTTTTTTGAGACCGTTTAGCCAGACAGGTTCTGTTTAAGTGATGTTTAGATTCAACAGTCTGTCAGTAATCATGCCTGGGTGTGGCTAGTGATATTGAACCCAATAGTCGATTAAATTTGGTTAACTGGTTGATTCAGTAGCTTAGTAGCTTTACATTTCCACATAGGGCCAAATATCCAAAAAAAGAAGAAATTGGGAAAGGGCAAATACTTTTTCACAGCACTGTATAGTCTAGCATTTTACATGAAGGACTCATTTGATTCTTTTTTTTTTTTTTGTTTAAATGTCTCTAAATTAATAATTGACAGTTGCTTCATATTTAATGACCTTTTCTAATTTAATGGGGTAAACATAAAATTAACATCATAGTGTTTTTACTGTCCTGTACACATTTTGTAACACGTGTGTTCACTGGGGTCAGTTTGACTTCAGGCTGTTTTAGTTGTGTTGTTTTGGTTGTTTTGGATGACATTGAGGTCACTATAACATGCAGTTTTGTAATCTTGAACACGCTTCCCTCTGCTTCAGGGCCCTAACCTAACATAGCCATACCTGTAGAAGCACAAGAACCCCTGATAGTTCACACGACATGGGGAAGTGGGAAAACATACGAGAACTTTGATATTTCCCAGAGGTTTGAATTTCTCAGGTCAAACTGACCGCAAAGACATAAGATGTTGGTGAATTTGAAGGTAACATGGGGGTTACAATTTCTAGCTGCAGACTTGCGCTCTCAGCCCCAGTGACGTCACACGCACCTGCACTTTCTGCCACAATAGCAGAAGCAGCCCAACAGCACAGTAACATTTGGCTGCTGCTGCTTAGCAACATCACTTAATCCTTATTTCATCCGTAAAACGGCTAGAGAATTACATTAATGTACCTCTCTGTTGAAAAAAGTCATAGAACCCATTAAAACTGTTGGTTCCTGGTGGTTTTCTGTAATCACTAATGGTATTCTGTGTTTTCCTGATGGGTTGATACCACAGTGTAAAGGATTCAAATCAGTTAATCCGATATTCTGGGACTGATTCCACATACATTTGTTTGTTTCTTAATGGTCTCTAACTGCATCTTCCCGTTAGGAAGCGAAACGATCAGGTTTCATTCCTAATGGTTCTAATCGTCTTCAGCATGGCTTTCATGACAGCCGTAGCCTGTTTGTTTTTTCTGCGAATAAACCCGACATTCATGTCTTTATCGTTGTGGTTTTATTTAGAAACTTTCCATATTTAATTACCTTATTATCATGACAGCGTTAATATGTTTTTGCATGTAAACGTTCACTGTAACTCTTGTGATTCACTGTTTTCCCTCATAAAACCGACAAAAACACTGTGGTGGCAGAGCGACACTGACGTCATCAGTAGGTTGGCGGTGCACGTCAGGCTGAGAGTGCATGTCTGCAGCCAGACCCTTCTCAGAATCTCAGTGCCACTAGTTTGTGTTGGTGATTTTGTTCCAAAAAGGTGGTGTTGTGTCTAAGGATGTACCAAATACTTATAAATATACTAGTTTGGGCTCCCGAGTGGCGCAACCGTCTAAGCGTTGTCCCTCATCAGGAGGTCGCGAGTTCGATCCCTGGTGATGCTACAGCCGTCCGTAGCCGGGAGTCCGAGAGAGCACAATTGGCCTCGCTCTCTCTGGGTGGGTAGGATGGCCCCTCCTTCTCCCCCCATCACTCAGCGCGATGCTAGTCAGCGCAGGCCTCTGTTAGCTGACGTAACAGATCTGGCGGTTGGCGCTTTCCTCCGAGCGCGTTCGGCTGTCCAATGACGTTGCGTGAGCGGCAGTTCAAAAAGAAGCGGTGGCGCTTCACAGGTCTCAGAGGAAGCCTGTGTTAGCCTTCGCCCTCCTAGCGTTGATAGCATCGTGTGACTGGGGGAGTCCTGACTAGCGGGTGGAATTGGAGACGACTAAATTGGGGAGAAAATCGGGTAAAAATAAAATATATATATATATATATATATATATATATATATATATATATATATATATATATATATATATATATATATATATATACACACACTAGTTTATTGCCAGTAGCACAAAGTTGCCAAGTCTGCACGTCAGACTTATTGGAGATTGGAGCTACTGAGACTCCTTACTTCATTCCTGACTTATTTGAGGTGACGTAGGGTTTTTTCATCTACAGTCCAAATCAGTTGCATGCTGCTCTGGATTGCTGGCTAGTTACTATGCTCTTCTTTATATTTGTTTTTGAGATTAGATGAGAGCATGCAGGCTAGCGAGCTGTCCAGAGCAGAAGGTACAAAAACGGCTTAAAAACCTTCATCATATAGAATCCAAAATATAGTCACTCCCCCATTCACTGACGAACGAAAGTCTCATTTTTCAGGATGATTGTTAGAAGTTTTCCCTCCGTATCACGTTTATAGAACTTGCTATGAAAATAATAATCAGGAGTGTTTTTCATTTCCTTGTACTATTTCAATTAGGCTTTATTAAAAAGTATAAACGATAAAAAGATAATAGATTGTGTGCTGTAGTATAAAAATGTATCATACTGGCCTAATTAGAATATTAGTCTATAATAATTATCTTTTAGTGGTGGTAATATTTAGAATGCCACTTAATATTGTCAATGATGGTAATACTTATAGTAATAATAAGAGGAATTTAAAAATATTTATTTTTTTCAACGAAACATCTTGAACGTTTTTTATTTGCATAAACTGTTTTAGTATTCGAATGAAATATCTGATAGTTCCAGCTGTGATGCATCCCGCTTCTCAGTGACAGTGATCACGCTCTTCTTGTCTTAATTTTTTGTGAGGAGGGTTTTTTTCCTTCAGCTGTCTTCTCTTGTGGTTTGTTTGCTCTTGATGAAGCCTCCCTCCACATGTAAATTTATTACTGCTTCTCTAAGGACTTGCCCAGTACGTTTAAATAATTCACACGCTTTGAAGCGCCATCTCGGTTTCATTCAGATTTTATGAGCTTTCAATGGCCTCCAAAGGATGCTCGTAGTTTTACTGTGTACATAATGTCCACGCAAAGTGTCATCTGTTGTCCTTTCTTCCCCCCCATAAGCACATTCCATAAAGCGATTGTTATTATAGAGCCATTTTTATCGCCAGTGTCACTTGCACAGCTTGCGTCGCATGACCTTCATCTGACCTACGGTTATGGTTTTATTTAACACCGTAACCAAGGCTTCGGTAACCATTTGCGCTTTTGAGATGATTTCGGCCCATTTTGCGAAGCATGAAAGAATGAAAACCGTCATTTGACACAATCTGTAACAGCTTTATTTACATTTTGATGTTTGCAGAGAAATCTAAGGACAAATCTCAGGTGGCTCAGAAAACTGCCAGCAAAAACCCGACCACGGCGAATAAAGCAAGCAGCAGCAATGGCAGCAGCACACCTAACAGGTACACCCGAGGCTTGGTCCGCACACACACACACACAGAGCACAAGCCAAGCAGGAGCTCTGCGGAATGATGTACTGCTCTCATCTCTTGGATAATGTTATTAAAAGTTTAGGCCCTGGGGTGAGGAAGTTTAGCACCAGCTTATTATTTCAAACTACTCGCAAAATAAATCAATCTTTTATCAAAGTCTACCTTCCCTATGAACTGTGTAATCAAATTGAACAGTGTTCCAGGCGAGAATCCTCTTACTATTCTATTAAGCTGAGCTATTGCTGAAAGAACCATCTTGAAAGGAGCCATCCCGGTACGACATGGCTGTTACAACATACAGACAATTGTGAAAGGCCCATCAAATTGGTTGTGTAAAACTATCATTTTGAAAGAGGACTTCAAAGGGAATCATGTGGCGAGCTGGGAAGAAAGGTCTTCATTAAGTCCCATTCTGGAACAGTGTGAATTTAATGAGTTTGTAATGGTTCCTGCGGGCTTGAACATGCTTTGCAGAGGTCAGAGAATGTTCCCTAGTCAGCCGCTGCAGTGGAGTGCATTTGTAATTCACCTCAGCTGAGAGAAGCGAGAGGTCAGGCTGGTTCCTGGCACTAATAGTCATAGTCTGGTGCTCAGAAAATATTCATTAAGGGCACTCACTTATGCTCAGGGGCTCGGGGAATGGCACGCTTTCTACCAATGAGTCTAAAGAATGTCAAGAGTGTTTAATCGTGGATGTAATACTCCAGGCTAGGGTTTGTGGTAAACTCCCATGATATGAGGCTTAGTTTAGTTTAAATTCTTAAATTCTTTCATTTTTTAGGGTGGGGGGCTTGTTTTGTTATGGTAGTTTGCAGGTAACAGAATTGCAAAATGCTTTGGGTCCTGAAAATTGAGTGATCTGTGCATCGCAGGCAGGCTAATTTTATCTGTTATGACTTGGCAAGACTCCATAAAAGCGATTCAGTTTGAGAGGTTATATTGAGTCGAGTAATTTATGTAAGATCGCCCTCAAAAGATCATGACCCTCCTTAATCAAAACAAGCTTAAATTCAGCTGGAATTGATGCATCATTATTTGCACTACATTAATTATCATTCAACTGAGCTGTCAAGGTTACTTAAATAAATATCTGTTTATTCTCCTTTATTTCAGCACCAAAGGGAGCAAAGAGAAGGAGGACAAAGAGAAGAGTGGGAAGGAGAAAAAGGAGAAGAAAGAGAAGAATTCGGGGAGCACTCCAGAGGCCAAGGCAGGAGGGAAGGAGAAGCAGAAGGAGGAGAAGGCCGGCGACAACAAGGAGAAGACGCCCAAGGCCGATAAGGACAAGAGGAAGGACGAGAAGAAGGATGAGAAGAGCAAGACAGACGGAAAGTCCACCGACAAAGAGTCGTCCAAGGAGCGAGACGTGTCCAAGGAGGGCAAGCAGAAGGAAAGCAGCAAGGGGGAGAAGACCCCTGGGCCGGGTTCCCTCAAGTCACCGGTTCCCAGATCAGAAGGAGCAGAGTCAGAACGGGGTAAGGGAGCGTTTGCTTGGGGTGTGGGTGTGTTAGTTTGGGGAGGGGATGTCAGTGGAATTGGCGATAGATTGCATCTATCTTGATGGTCATCAAGTTGGATGATTTTAAATTTCATGTAGCTAAGCATAAAAACATTCGGCTACATGTAAATAAAAAAATCTCGTGAATCTCGACTGAGGCTACTCAGCCTGTAGGTTAATAGTATCTTCTCATGTTTGTGCTAAGTATTTCCTCTGCCCCTTGAAAATGCTTTTGGCCTTTTTTCTTTTTTCCTAGTCAGCCACAACGAACCCCACCATACATAATGTACCTCCACAGAATGTAAAGGTTCTAGAAAAGCCCCTTTGATTGGTATGGAAAACGTGTGTGGAAGTTCTTTAAACGTTATAAAGGGTAAATCACGTCTCATCCAAAGCAAGGTTCTTTAGGGCCAAACATGCTTCTGCTGTGGCACTGCTCCAGTGAACCCTTTAGTGTCTAAAGTGTACAGTGAAAAAGAGGCTTATACACATAGAACGTTAACGTAATCTATGGAGTTAAATCTGTGTCGCCAGAACCTGAATACGTGATGCTGAACCTGAATTTGTGAACCTGAATTCCTGATGCTTTTTCAAGTTGTAAAATTCAGGTCGAGAAATTTAGGCTGTAAAATTCAGGTCGAGAAATTTAGGCTGTAAAATTCAGGTCCAGAAATTCAGGCTGTAAAATTCAGGTCCAGAAATTCAGGCTGTAAAATTCTGGTCTGGAAATTCAGGCTGTAAAATTCAGGTCCGGAAATTCAGGCTGTAAAATTCAGGTCTGGAAATTCAGGCTGTAAAATTAGGGTCTTGAAATTCCAGCTGTAAAATTAAGGTCTTGAAATTCCAGCTGTAAAATTAAGGTTGTAAAATTATGGTCTGGAAATTCAGGCTGTAATATTCAGTTCGAGAAATTCAGGTTGTAAAATTCAGGTCTGGAAGTTGAGGTCGTAAAATTCCAAACGCTGGACCTGACCAGAAATGATGCTCCAATACAGAATACAATTAACTTCCTTTCTGTAACGGACAAAAAAAATGAACGTTACGTTGGATATAAATCAGCTGAGTAAGAATCTTCAAGTGATGTTTAAATCGGTGGTGGTCAGTGGTATTAGCATCAGGCCAATCATAACTGTCACATGATGATCTTAAAGCTCGATTGTATATAGTGTGTGAATTTAACCCTTGTGTGGTGTTGATGTGTGTGTTACTCAGTGGTCTGCTGGACCCACCACATTGTTTTTTTTAAACCAATACAGCCGAAACAATTTATGTAAAAATACCAGATGTTTAAAATATCACAGGTGGTCAGCGTAGGGTTCTCCTTTAGCAGCTGTAGCCAGTCAGCAGCCTGTCCATGTTGTCCACCCTCACACACACACACACACACACACACACTAACAGCAGGCCATGTAGGAGGAGAACAGAGTGAAGGACACAGCACCTCCACACTTTTACTCCCCGCTGGTTCACCCAACACCACATGTGTAATATAAATGTGTGGGGGGTGAACAGAGTGAAGACACTGAAAATGGGTTATTTTATATGTTCTTCACAGAAAATGAGCAAAGGACAAGAATCTGAGGCTGAAATAATAATAAATTGCATCATTTTTCTTTTGATAAACATTGAAAATGGGTCCCACAGACCTGAACACCACACAGGGGTTAAATTACATTTCACGTTGCTTCGTTATTATAGTACATTGACTATCCAACTCTATGTAGACTGTATGAATTCCTTTGTTGACTTTGCCTTTTCTTAATTTTAACAAGATGTTGAAAGACTGCACTTTGTTTCTTTCTCTGCCAGAACAAAAAAGACGAAAGCTTGACACCCACTCTTCGCCATCACACTCCTCTGCGGTTAAGGTTAGTATGGCCTGAGGAGGGCTGTGCCCTTGTTTCCTCTTGTCCCCCCGTTGGAGAGCACATGTTTATCCACGCATTCCTCGTCCTTCCCCCTCCCATGAGAGAATGCAGGGGAGGCCTCTGGAACCCAGCCTTCATAGGAGAGCAGTAGGGGAGAGAAGTTATACATCAGATGGACTATATTTTTTTTGTTTTTTTTGGGAGAATCACTTTTTAATACATATCAATTTTTATGATAGAATACCATGGACTTGCCAAAAATAATAAAAGCTTAACACGTCGCTTATTTTTTGGCTCCCTTTTTTTGTACATGCTGAAAACCCTACTCAAGTGCCTCAGAAAATATTTTTGTCATATAAAGCATTTTTGTAAATATAGATTATATTTTTGTAAAACGCCCTTTCCTTTTTTTGATTTTTGACATTTTTGTGAGCATATTATTTATTGAGAAAGCGTAAAAGTAAATGAGAGACAAGGCTTTTCTTTCAACTTAATTTTTTTTCCCTTAAACCTCGGGACAAGAGAATGTTTACTGGAAGAGATCCCGATTATAGCGTCACGGCAAACGGCCCTGGCATTCGTGGTTTCCGGATGCCTTTGCTGCGTCACCCGTTCCCCGGATCCTCCTGACGAGAGCCCCTTTTGCCACCTCTGCTTGTGGGTGTGTTGTTTTTTCTTTTTTTTTTTTCCCGCTCTCGAGCAGTTTTTTTTGTGGTGTGCGCCTGCCCTGCGGTGAAAAAGCGGTCCAGCAAGCATTTCCCCTGCTCCCCCAGACCTCCGCATCTTCTGCAAAGGCAGACAGGCCTTCCAGCCATCCAGGGAAAACACCATGATGCATCACCAGCAGCAGCAACATAGGGAGAGAAATGGCTACCAAGGAAAAGCATGGGCACAGCCTTTCAAGAGGGAGCTGCTTATCTGCAACCAGGGAGCTTGTTGTAATTCTATATGCACCCTAACCTCCAACACCTTACACCAAGTGTACACTTAAAACATTGATACACCAGGCCCCCTAATGTAGCGCTGTAGCACTCCACCATGTTAGAATGCTAGTCGGAGTCTAGGCCGTTTTATCTTCCCCAGCACTCACGCAGTGAATTGGTAGAGATACACTTTATTTATTTAGACCAAAGAACCCAGTTAGGATGTAACCAGTATCGCTCAGCGCAATGCACAGGTTCAAGTACATCTAGACGCAGATGCTCCTGCATAGACCAGCATTTAGACTACATAGTCCAGTCGCTTCCTCCACTAACCATGTCAAAGTTTTAGTCTTTGAAGGTCTTTAAGGGGATGTGTTGAATGCCGGCCAGCCTCCCCCCCCACTCAACCCTTTCTCCTGCTGTGTGCCAACCTCTTCAGCTCATCTGTCGTCTCCGTTCATTCCTACAGGACAATCTCAACGACTTAAAGGACTCAGTCTCCAAGGTTTGAACCCTTTTAATGTCTCCACATCTTTAATGTGCATTCCTTTTTCTTGTATAATGACAGGCTTTAGTACAAGAATGAGTGCATCGTGTGCATGCCTTACAAGGACAGGGCCTGTTAGTATGATATCTTAGACAAAATTTGCAGTTACACAAGTGGTGCCATTTGATTTCATCAGGTCTTTCAAATGCTAGAAATTTGTGGAATGGAGGTTTTGGGTTTATTTTGGATCGCAGGATCTAATTATTATGTGCTGTCCAGTGAATTGTACTTGATACCCGAAGTGCTTGAGTACTAGGGCTGCGACTATCAAGTATTTCCATTTTTGAATATTCTTTTGATTATCTTAAATAGCTGGATTTTCATGTAAGAGTAGGAAAAGCACACGACGTTTCACTTTAATAACTGAATGCAGAACAATGTTCTTGTTGCTTTTTAAATTATTATTATTTTTGCACTATCGCATACATTCTGTTTATTTCACATTTTGATTACCTTGTTTGAAATACTTTAGGAAAATGAAAAAACAAATCGGATAAGATTAGTCCTGTCAAAAAAAAAAAAACTGTCAAATTGTGAGAGTCTTTAAACTATGTCAAATCGCAGTCTCCAATCAGTTCAGGGTGTGGTCCTGGCAGCTGTGTGCTGCTGGTGACAAGCTACGGGGAGATTCACTCGAAAGAGGCCCTGAATATTCTGCTGTAACTCCCGTTAGGATGAAGCAATCTGAACCCAAAAATACGCTACATACCTGTAATCGATTGCATTACAATTCGATGCTGGAAGTGATCTCTGTTTTCAGCCAGACACGTGAAGGGGTACGGGGGCTACACACCCGGAAGGTGCAAACGGAGGTTAAACGCAGCGGCGTCTCTCCGGCACCTACCTCATCGCTCCGACACAGGAGCATCCCAGCTTGTTCGAAGCTCTGAGGAGCACATTCACGTTGTTTCGTTCAGATTGCTTCATCCTAGAGAGAGTTATTACAGAATATTCGGGGCCTCTTTTGAGTTAATCTCCCTGTAGTATTTGGCTTGATAAACATTTATTTCCCCAAAGCGCATAAAAGTAGTAAACATCGATTATTTGAATGGCTTTGCCATTTTTAAAATAATAATTATTAATTTTATTGAATATTGCAGAATATTTGTTGCAGCCCTTATCAATGCTCACTTTTGTACACGAAAATACTAAACAGAGCAAAAGAGTGATAATCATATGTTTAGGACACTTGAACAGAAATGCATGTGTTGCAATGGCTGTACAGTGTTACAGTGCAGTTGTGCTAAAAGACATTAGTCTTGTGCGAATACAAAAAAGATCTGTCACACAACTGTCCGAGCCTGATCTCCTCAGCAGCTGAAGCAGCCCAAAGGCCTGTAACTAAACAGCCTCTCTAAGTGCAAAAGTTGTGTAGTTTGGGGCTGTAAAGCCACATGCTGGAATACTAGCCAGCACAAAGACATCTTTAGGTTCAGGCACACTCTGCTGTACCTGCTGCTTTTGATATCTTTTAGATTTTATCATTTTTTTAGAATGAAGTAATTTAAAACTTGCCTATAAAATCAAACTGAGCCTTACCTTTGGGTAATAAAGTATATTTTAAAGTCTGTGACCGCGACCATGCCCAGATCCTGCTGGTGTGGGTTCATAAGTGGCTGTTTCTCTTTTAATGAAATGCAGCTTCAGTGCTAATAATTCGCCCCTGTTGAAAATCTTTTACATGCTTCTTCTGTGCTTTCACAGTTAATAGAACAATGTTGAGCTCACTTTTTCGAAGTTTTATCGTAGACATTTTATCTCAGCGCTACAGTCTTTTAATCTGTGACACACTCGTGCTGCCTGCTCTAGAAATGTATGTGCAGCCCTGATTCCTAATGCACCGTAGGCGTACACGTAGGATGCGCTTGTGGAGCAGAGTTATTCGTTCAGGTATGCAGGTTTGTGAGATCGACGTGCCCATTTCCCCTCCAGAATTTTCCTTTTAAATATGGATGTAAAGCGCAGAGAGAGAGAGCTCATAATAAGCTCACCGTGTGGTTGGAGGTTTACGGTGTTGTCAGGACTTACTGTGTGCATTTAGTACAATAAAATCTCTTTTCCCGTGTTAACAAGATTCTGCTCAATTTGCGTGTTGTAAAACCACAAAGCCCTTCATTAACCCAAAATTTGCATCTCACTGGAAAGAAATCATATCTCATATCTCATAACTTCTTTTCCCCTGCACTCCCCCATACACACGCGCACAAACTCTCCAGCTCCACATTCCGCTAATGTAATTTCTCCTCCACAATATCCTCTATTCTCTCCCCCTGCCCGCGCTCTCCCGGGCCTTCCTCGCTCGTCTTGCTGTCTGATTGGACTCTGGCTCCTTGCTCGCTCTGCTATTCTGCAGCTGACTCGTTTCTGAACAGCTTCTGTCAGCTGGCGGAGAGATAAAAGTGTTTTCGCTGTTATGGTCACTGAAGGCAATGGCAGGATATTTGAAAATATGCTGATGGCACCTCTCGCAAAAGCAATCCAACAGAATTTTGAGTAGGCTGCCATCCCTCCCCCTCCAACAGGGCCTACGTTCAAGGTATTCCCAGATATTATCTGTGATATTATGTTATTAAAGAAATATCAGAAGTGTTGTAGGCTAATGGTCTCAGCATTGCCAGGGGAGCTGTTTTACATTCACTAAGCTGACCCCTGCTGAATAGAAGATCCTCTTTTATTTCCTGCTCTTGGCTCTGGGAGGTGTCCAGCATGTGTGATTGTAACCCAGATTGAAACCGTAGTCGAGAATTTAGAGTAGTTTGCGTTAGGGATGGGAATCTCTAGGTACCTCGATTGCGATTCAGAGGTTGCGATGCGATTATAAAACGATTATTGATGCATCTTTTTTTCTATAAAGGATTTTCTTTCTTTCTCACTCCTTGGAACTTTTAAAGCGCAGTATTTGTGATGATCCATAATGAATTTACGTGATGTGGCAAGTGAACTGGAAGGCTCTCATTCACTGCTCCTGTTTGGAGCACATGAGACGCTGCTGCCACTCATCTGTGATAAAATGCGCCGCTACGGTGAAATAAGATCCAGAGGCAGTGGACGTCCACACAGATCACAGCTATTCTACCCGTTTTGTTCAGTGATTCTATAACTTCAGTTTTGGTCTCATTGTAGACAGTGGGGGGGTCGCTGTGTCAGTAAAATATCTCCGAGACGTGACGCTGTATCTCGGTTCCAAAGTGTGCAGCATAGTCTGAAAGCCCTGGTTCTCAACGACGGAGAACGGACGCAAATCCATGGCTGTAAAAGTTGAGAGAGTGTAATTTGCTTTGTCCTTTCCGAGTTGAGTGGAAGTTTTGACATCGCTTGATCGATGGCAGCAAATACACCTGGGTGGAAAATGGGTGGAAACATGTAATATGGTTTTCCCCCTCAACTCCATAGAACCGAAGTGCTTCCGTACGTTAGCTCAGGGGTCGGCAACTTGCGGCACTTACTGGCCATTTGCGGCTCCACATCAGAATTTGATTTTTAGGTGAAAATAAAATAATCCTCATTTGCAGTGAAATAAAGCTCTGCTGATCATTCAGCACAGTTTTAACAATAAATGGACCAGCGCTTTCATTTCGAGAGCTGAATTTCAGCGCATGGTACATCCTGAGCTTTCAGCTGTGCTGTGTTTTGTAGGACTGTGTTTGAAATGTCTGACTATTTTACAGCACTTGGCTGAAGCACCCAGGGAGTTCTGGGAAATGGAGTACCTTATGTGAATTGAGGCCAGAGGGATGCGTGGCAGGACATCACTTCGAAAATGTAAAATAAAAAAAATCGTCAGTGGAAGTATTTGTTCAGGGGTGCACGACTCCGGTCCTGTCCAGCACGGTTTGGTGATTTACCTGCTCCAACACACCTGATTACATTTACCTGGTAATTGCCAGGTTAAGTGGGTGTGTTTGGGCAGGGAAACCTCCGAACTGTGCTGGACATCAGCCCTCCAGGACCGGAGTTGTGCACCCCTGTATTTGTTATTTATTTGTTTATTTTAAAAATTTAATTCAGTTTTATTTTTTTGATAATATTGAATAATTTGTTAATTGATAATATTGAATATTTGTTTCAGGCGTATTTGAAATCAGTAACTATTTGTACTTACTGTGTGCTGTTTGTAATGCTATTTAAGTCTGAATAATATCTTGAACCATCAAGAAAAGTCTTCTCACGTTTTCAAGAAAAAGCGAAGCAGCTCTCTCACAGTTCTTACATAACTGCCTGATGGCAAGTGTTCAAGCTGATCATAATTAAACCGACTAGTTAATTTCCACAGTGGTTAATTTTTACAGCCATATATTTAAGTCACAACAAGCAGAATGTGAATCGGGTGAGTTTTCATCAGTTAAAGTTTTCAACACGTGAAATGAAAGCAGAAAATGCTTTTTTTGAGACGCTGTGGGTCTCAGGAAAATAAAAGTTGTCATTGGACTTGACGCTAAAACAAGCTTAGAGGACATTGGTGAGTGATGTTTGTCAGCTGTGTCAGTTGAGAGATACAATCTAGGAAGCAAGATAGCTAATCAGTTAGTTCGTCCACTTTAAGTCTCCACTTCAGAGGTCACTAATAGACAGACTGAAAGCTGACAAATGTTGCTGAAATATTACTGAATTGTATTTTATTTGATTTGACATTCAGCTGTTGACTGTATAAGATGTTGATATACCTACTAGGCTACTTCAGTAAACAGTATATGTTAGACATTATGATATTCTGGACATTTTCTATAACTGGACCTTATTGAATTTTAAATTCCCCTGCTCTACTTTAATAGTTGAATGCAGTGAACAAAAAAAAATTCAGTTTTTAATATCAGTCACTTACATGACAGTTAATTGCCAGCTGAAATTTCGTGAGCATGATGGGCCTCAGAATAAATAAGTAGAGAGAAAAGCTTAGTCGATATCTACACCTGTCCTGCACCTTTAGATTCAGCATCGGCACGTAACACCTTAAAAAC